TATATGTCTTGCCTCTGCTCTCACTTTTTGTGGGTTCCTTGTCTTTGCTGTCCTCCCATGCTGTTGTCCACGTTCCTCGTCTCTCCCTGGCTCCTCGTGTTTGGTTTTCCCCAGATGTCTTCTCAGTTCTGGTTTGCCTTTCATTATTAGTTGGATTTTTGGATTCCTGCCTTTGTTTACTGTTTTGCCCCATTAAAACTCCTAGAAATCTCCTCAGCCTCTGCCTCTGCATTTGGGTCCTCCAAACCCTGACAACAAAATTTTTTAAATTTTTCTAAAAGTAAAAATATGTTTCACTTACATTTTTATTTTTATTTTAAATGAGGAGCCCTTTAACTTAAAATATTAAGCTAAAAGAAGGAGGAGAATTAGGTATTGAACAAAGAGCTTCTCAGGTGGACATCTGGCAGGTGAGCTATGCATTCGCACACCTTACATTGTGAAAATATTATACAAGTCTAATTTGTATGCATCAGTCATGATTTAATTCTGTTTGTTGATGGAATGAAAGATTCAGGTGAGGTTGGTTGTTTATTCAAAATGTGAAGAAATCAAATATCTAATCTAATGCCTGTTTTTTTCTACTAAATGGATACTACTTTTAGGGCTGGATGATATGCCTTTAGAAATAAAATTTTTATTTTTTCTTATAAAATCTGATGTCAAATGATAAAAGCTACTTTTATTTCAAGCATGCCCTCCTGGACATGACCTTAATTAAAAAGCAACAAAATTCAAGCTGAGGAACATGCGTTTGAAACAAACATGTTCCACACCAAACAATACAGCTATAATACGCTAAATGTTTGTAGCTGGTGATATCAAAAAGTGAGCTGGTTTATTAGTTATGAGTAAAGATCTAAGAAGGAAAGAAGATGAACTGATGTCAACCTAAGACATCGAAGCCCAAAGGGTGCAATGCTTAGCAAACAATAACCACAATTCTCTAGAAATGAAATCATCATTAACAGAAAATAAATAGATAAAATAGTTGCCAAGGGCGTATTGTGTTTACATTGTATTATTTTTCTTTTTGAGAAAATTAGCCTACATGTATCAAAAGTAATCTTCATTCTAAAACAATGAAATAATTGTCATTCTAAAAGAGGATTATTGGGTATAAATGATTTTGGGTTTTACTGGGCTTTGAATTCTTTTGTTTAGCTAAATGTTTCTTTAGCATTATCCTAATAATCATCTTGTTATTGTTATTTAATAATCATATAAATACATGCTCCCCAAAAATCAAAGATGATTCACTTACAGAGATTTTAACCGCAAATAAACTTGAAAAACGCAGTGTTTTAGTCTGTATCCTACAGTTAATAATTATTTTATAACTTAATGAGTCGTTGCTGGCTTCAACAGCTTATTTTAATTATCGATTAATCATGATTAATGGAATAAATAGCTTAGGACTTGCAAGAAACGCAGAATGAAGAGTTTCCTTAAACAGTACCTGTCTGACAACAAGAAAGTAGGCTGAAAAATCTCAAAAGAAAAAAAAAGAAAAAAGGTGAACAGGATGTTACCAAGCGTTTCTAAGGCTATTATCGTCCTGTGAACCAAACGCAAACCTCAGCTGCTGTGGTTAAGTTCTCATGATCTAAAAGTAAGTAAAACATTGAACAAAAATGGCATCCATGCAAGAGTTCTCAGGAGAAAAAAAACCCTGCTGACGAAAAAGAACACAAAGGTCTGTCTCAAATCATGAAGACTCTCCGCACTTTAAAGAAAAGGTTCTTTAAGCTGACAAAAAGAAACCAAGTGAAACTTTAAAGAACCTTAAAAACAATTTTTTTTATTGGACACATCAGTTATTGTCCTATACATCATACTTATTTAAATGCATTATTTGTTAGAGGGAATCTTGGGTTTTTTTGGACACACCAGTAAATGTCCTATGCATCATACATATTTAAACTCATTATTTGTTAGAATCAGGTAGCTTAGGAGTAATCTGTGGTAGCATTTTTTTCTGGAGGAGCATGAAGAGAAAACTCTGCTTTCTACTCCTACCTGCAGAAAACAAACTAACAAGCCAGTGCCATGTTTGCATGACAAATATAACATGACTCTCACATTCTCCCATCTGGGAGGTGTCATGGTGCCTCTTTCTATTTTCACAGAATAAATAATTTCAAACAAGACTTTACTTGCTTTGTATAAATCCTTATTTAAAAACCAACAAAACAACACAAAAAAACCCCAACAAAGACAAAACCAGGGCCGTTCTTTGCATCAGTCAAAACATCAGTGAGATAACATTCCACAAGCCAGGGCAAGTCATTTAAACATCATTCCCCTGCTCCTCCACATGTTCCCCATGGCTGACAACACCTCATGCACACTGCCTGAGCATTTATGCAGGCTCTGCCTCTCATCAAAAGGCACCCTGCTGCAAAACAAGATCAAACCTCTCATAAGTGATATTTCTTCTAAAAGCAGAATTCTCCCAAAACAAGATCATTTGCAACAGATGCAACTTTAAAATAAAAGTTGTTGTATATAAAAACATTGTTGTTACACCTGCCTGGGATCTAATGTGATTTAATCTCATCCAGCCACATTAGTAGGACTGTAAAAGCACTTTTTCTGTTTTGCATTTAATGTTCAGCAAGATCAACGGTGAATAGATTTGCTAAAAGTATAAGAATAAAATTAAGCCTAACTTTTGGATGAAAATAAGTCAGATATCCTGGAAGGGAAAGAATCTGTAGATTTACCAAATGTGGCTTACCTTCAAGAAACAGGATTTATGAACATTGAGCAAATTTAAAAATAAACTATTAATTCAACCATCTAATGATCAGTTCAAATAAAAGAGAATCTGTGGTTTTCACTTGTTTAACCCCTCAGGAGGTCTCTCTCACACACCGCAGAGGCGCGCTTTTAAATAAGTTAACACTTACAGAACTTTATTGGGGTTGATTTGCTGGTGGAAAGCGAGAGAAAAGCCGAAGAGTGTCCCCGGCTCCCCGTGTCTCCTGATGACATGACTGGTGTCCAGGTTAAAGGCGCGCAGCCCGCTTGGCTCCAGCAGATGGATGAGGAGAAAAAGCGCAGCTTGGAGCGCAGAGGCTCCGCTCTGCTGAAGGAGCAGCACCATCACACTGGTCCAGCAATCCAAGAGGTAAAGAACCCGGAGACCCCGCAGCTTTTCCACCCTCAGTCACTTTGTTAATGAGGAAGGAAAGCAGCCGAGTGTCAAGTATATAGTTACTCCACAGCGCCCCCTTCGACCGAAAAAGATGGCCCCTAGTACCCAAGATAAACACGTGTATTTACTTTGGGACCACAGGTGTAGTATGTACAACATTACCTTATTATTTCAAAAAATAAATGAGATTTAAATTCACTTATTTCCTCTTAAATGAGGATGTATTAGTTACGTTAACCTTGTCTTTTAACCACTTTTATAAGGTGCATGCACGCTTAAAAAATAAAGTTCTTCTACTGTAAATCTCTCCATAATATAAGACCACAAATATGAGCTTTTTGTTTATTAGATTGTCCCTTTTTAACTCTTTTAAATTAAATGAAAAAAGGTTAAAAAAAACAGATGTTTAAGATTCTTTTAGGCAAAATATGTGTTCATATTAAGTTTATTTATTTATTTACCTATGCATTTTTTTTGTTTCTTTTGTTAAATACATTTTTTATTTAGAAATTATATGAATGGTTTCAGAAGAATAACATTTTATCATCTCAAGTAGTACCATTTATTAGTACCACTAGATGCCAGGTTAAACAAATCAGTCAGTGATAACAGTACTAGGTAAGCAATATAGGCTTTTCGGAGTCTGCTGTATCTAAACATGTAAATGGAAAGTTGGTTGGAAGGAAAAAGTATGATGTCTTGTGGTGTCTTTAGGCAATATCAAAATCAAAAAACCGTTATGTTTTGTGGGTTTTTTTGCTCAAAAACAAATTTAGCAGTTGGCCATAATTATAAAGGGAAATTACAGGAAGTATATCACTCTGTAAATATAGATATATTGTTTACACTTTCAATTTAGCCTACTTATCAAAGTACATTTTAAAGATATTATAATCTATAGATAGACATTTACATGTTTGAGGCCAGTCTGTATGTCCTTAGATGAGTCTTCTGTTTCTTCTATACTACCAATCCCTTTCTCTGCAGCTTTTTTATTTTAGGTTGGTCCTGCTGCACTCATCCACATGCCCTTTATTCATCTCTTTATGAGGCTTTTCCCATTGATTGCAGTAATCCACTTCTCTAGACTCCCTTTGCACTAGAATCACATACACAACATTCACACTCTGTATCTCTATCTCTATCACTTTGGTTTTTAGTATATTTCCAAACAATATTTTTTTCTGGAGCTACTATTATACAAAAAAAATATATATTTTTTTTAAGTAATTCAGCCATGTCTAAAATAAAACTCTTACAACTACCAGCTCTCAATGCAGGGCAGGGCTAAATAATCCTCACTTTCAGTGTCATTTGAAATCATGGAACAAAATTCCCATTTATTCAGTTATTGATCTACTAAATCTAAAACATGTACAGTAAACTTTGGCAAGTTGTTTAAAAAAGGAATCATATGAATTATCTCAACTATGACTGCATTATGACTGACGAGAGTCAAGGATATGGGTCATCCGGTCCATTCCAATGTTCTACAATTCTCAAAAACGTGAGCTTAGAATATACAAAACTGCATCTAAGATGATTTATAAAATGGATCTTAACGTTCTCTTGATGGCAAAAACAAAAAGACCACTGCCTCTGGCTCAGCTACTCGATGCCAAAAGAAATATTTCTGACTCAAACCAACTAACTTTTCTTTGACCTCATCAACTAATGTCATCTGGTCCAACCATTATTTTCATTCTTTCCGCTTTGCTATCTACAGTAAGATTTACCATTGGAGCAAAGTTGTTACTGAAGACTTATTAAATGTAAGGGTTTTTATCTTACACCTACCTTTTGGTATCCCATGAACTTTGCTTTAATAATGAGCAATCAACCTTTAAGCATGCATGTTTGTCTTTATCATCATCTGCTTTACATAGTTCTGATAATTCCGGTAAAGGTTGGGATAGAATGTTGCTTAAATACAATCAGTAAATCTAACTTTCCCCATAAGAAGACCTTGTTTTGGATGCATTGATAATGCTATTAGTCGTTTTAGGGGTAGGACAGCTCCTCTGCTTTTACACTGATGTTATCACACTTCTGTTACTTATAAGACATTTTTATTTGGTCATACAGTAGTTATATTTATACAGAACCTGGAATTATTGTAATCTGTGCTCAGAGCTATGATGAGTCTAATGACTTGCAGTTCCTGAAGATTTTTAAGGTCAAGGCATGACAGAGCCTTTTTTTAAACCATAATTGATGTTAAGAAGGTTATTAAAAACAAAATACATTTCAAATGTTTGTTTGTTTTTATATAATTTTCTTTATCTTTTTATAGTTATTATAATGTTTGGTGAAGCAAATGCAGTTTAGCAAAAGCCTTTTACCACGCCCATTATTTGAATCTAGCTATGTTTAAGCGGAGAAGCATCTAAAACCCGAAGAACAGAGAAACCGTGGGACAGACGTTGGACACCACCTAAATGAGACTCCAATATTGTGGAAGAAGAATTTAACACAACATTCATTTTGCTCAGATTAATATCAAGTGTTTAAGTCAGTTAAACATATAAATCTGATAATTTCAGAAAGACCAGGAGATGTCCAGGGTCAGTAATATGTTCCACTAACTTTAACATATATATAAAGTTAGTGGAACTTTAACATATATATAAAGTTATTAATATATATGATATTAAAGACCATATCTGTCAGTAATCTAGGGTTTATTTATGGAAGACATTACATACAATATTTATGTGTGCCACTATTAACAACACCTGCTAATGCTCATAAAAAAATAATGACTGCCTGTCTGCTTGTCTCCAGACAGCTCAGGGCTTCACCCAAAGGGAGCATCTCAGTGCATTTAAATGGAACATATTAACCTTTTTATTTAAGACAACTAAATATTTTCATTATTTAAACACAAAAAGATAAATAAAAATCCCTAAAAGAATTCCATTAAAGTAATTTTCAGTTTTTCCTCACAATCTAGAGTGATACGGGCCATTAGGAATAATCTCTGAGACCCTGCCAGGATTTCAGAGCTGCATCTTCATATTTCATGCCCAGTCATCCCTGTGATTCTGCTGGTGTTGGACGGTGGTGTAAAGCCTGAGCGAGACTGGGTCACGATCACACAGTAGAACGCCACACAATGTGGACATTGTTGAATACCAGTCAGTGCATCTCTGTTTGCAGCACAGTGTGTTGGCAGGCGTGGCTGGATGTATGCATGAGTGTGTTGAGGGGGTGCAGAAACTCTGTCACATTCCTACAAGTTAGGAATTCTAGAGTAAAATAAAAAGGCATCTCTGTTGTGGTTTGTGAACAGATGCATCAGATATGAACACATCATAAACCTTTCTAGGGCTGATTGTCCTACACACATCTTCTGACACACACACATCTTAAGTGTTAATGCGATGGATATCTGAGCTCATTTCCTGGGAGATCAATCACAGTTTGTCTCATTTAAGTCTCTCTTTTCTTCCTCAAGCTTCTCAGATTGCTTGTCACATTTCAGTTAAAAGTCTGGCAGCTGTGGCTTAGTGGGAAGAGTAGTCATCTCCCAAAAGTTGCTGGTTTGATTAGAGCTTCCCAGTGACTGGGCGAATGGGGTTATGGTGTAAAGTTCTTTGAGTGGTCATTATGACAAGGGAAGTACAATTATATAAGTATAACTATAAGTTTTTTATCTATATATTTGAGCAGGTTAAGTTTCACTAACTCTGTAGTGTAGTTGGTAAAACAGTTTGGACCGTCGGCCTGCAATCTTTCTGCACGGTGCTTGCATGTTCTCCCATGCGCATGCATGGGCTCACTGCACCCCCCCACCCCCATGGCTTTTCACACTTTGTTCCATTTCTATTGGAAATCTGAGACAATCTGTGAGCAAGAATTTGAACACAGGTTCTGAATTGCCTGAAGGTTTGGACTTTGAGCAAAGTAAGCGACGAATGAAGCTGTTTGTTTAGGGTTGCTGTTCTGTGGGAAGGTGAGCAACAGGATCACAACCTCCTAACTTAACAGGATTGATAGGTCATTAAATCCTTTTTTTTTTATATATATAAAATACTGGTTCTGCTTTGAGGTGCTTTTCCCCATTCAAATTAAGTCCTTCACATTATTAATGCATATAGGGTAATGAAGCCCATTTCTGTGGGTATAGTAATGAAATTCACTTGGTAGATCTCAGATTTTATCCTGAGATTGGAGGTGAAACAGTAGCTTGAAGAGGAGGCAAATCTGCATGACCTCGTTTAGTCTGATGCTAGCGGGGATAGAGAAACCAAAGGGTGGAAGATGGTCCGACAGGTGAAAGCATCTTTCTTTGAAGATGAGCTGCTGTTTAGTGAAGACGAAATGTAAACTCTTTGGAAGGAGGTTTGCACCTCTCCCCTCCCTTCAGGGATCCTTGATGCTAGACAGAATACTGACATCTCCATGAGCCCTTCATTTCATATTGACAATACAACCTTTACCCATTTGATGGTAATAAATACAAAGAGGTTATACAGCTATTGTTTATGGTAACCATAAAGTTAATTTGGGTTTTATTTTTACCTCTTTTTTATGTAGGAAGCTATATTGGTATATTATCTGGGCAATTTTGATTCTTAATATAGGCTTGAGCCTTTATTTAAGTAAAAACTAAAAAAAAAATGCATAGAATACTTTTGAGAATCAAATTACATGCTGTTCTGGAACATGGAAAGTTTACGCTTTTCTCTTGGCTGAAAGTGTTTTTTTAATTTGTTTTCATGTAATTACATATAGATGGCTAAAGATATGGGCTTTTAAATCCACTAATGCTTTAGATACACATCTTATCCTCTACAAGTGTACATTTGATGACAATAATACAAAAATATTCTGGAAAGGTTTATCTGTCAGGTGCTTTACTACTGGCAGGAATAGGTGTTGTTTAGGGTTAGAGGGTTTAAGAAAATAACACAGAGTTTCATCCACAGGGCATCGAAGCCCATTCAGTATATAATTTATCCCTCTAATTTAAAATACCCCTCTGTCATATATATTTCCAAAAATATATCAAAGACC